TACAATGTCCAACAATGTGCAGTGTATGTTTTCTACAATGTCCAACAATGTGTAGTGTATGTTTTATACAATGTCCAACAATGTGCAATGTATGTTTTATACAATATCCAACAATGTGTAGTGTATGTTTTCTACAATGTCCAACAATGTGCAGTGTATGTTTTATACAATGTCCAACAATGTGTAGTGTATGTTTTATACAATGTCCAACAATGTGCAGTGTATTTTAAAACAATGTCCACAATGTGCAGTGTATGTCTTATACAATGTCCAACAATGTGTAGTGTATGTTTTATACAATGTCCAACAATGTGCAGGGTATGTTTTCTACAATGTCAAAGTGTTATTTCATAGTCATGTGTATTAAAATATTGATTGCTTAAAACGACCATCGCTAGGTCACACGACTTAAGTAAACATGACATAAAAATGGTTGGTTTCAAAACAATATTAAACACAGTGACGTTGTAAGCAATGCTGATTGGTATAATCCGAATAATCCGATTTAACTTAACCTGAGTATAGGTCAGTGGACTGGTGCTATTCTCAGTCAACAGCTAAACTATTTCCTGACCAATATTTCAGGTTGTTTTTTTCCATTCACATTCTTGTTTTTATAATGTGTGGTTATACGCTGTGTTCAAATAATTCAGTTTAAATAACTTCAACCACGAGGTAACCATACAGATACAATATAGATATAATATAGATATAATATAGATATAATATAGGTATAATACAGATATAATATAGATATACTATAGGTATAATTTAGATATAATATAGGTATAATATAGATATAATAGGGGTATAATATAGGTATAATATAGATATAATAAAGATATAATATAGATATGATAAAGATATAATATAGGTATAATATATAATATAGATATAGGTATAATATAGGTATAATATAGATATAATATAGATATAATATAGGTATAATATAGGTGTAATAATGATATAATAAAGATATAATATAGATAGTATATAGATATAATATAGGTATAATATAGATATATTATAGGTATAATATAGGTATAGCATAGATATAATATAGATATAATATAGGTATAATATAGGTATAATATCTATATAATAAAGGTATAATATAGGTATACTATAGATATAATATAGATATAATATAGGCATAATATAGGTATAATATAGTTATAATATAGATATAATATAGATATAATATAAGTATAATATAGGTATAACATAGATATAATATAGATATAATTTAGGTATAATATAGGTATAATAAAGATATAATATAGATATAATATAGATATAATATAGGTATAATATAGGTATAATATAGGTATATTATAGATATAATATAGATATGATATAGATATAATATAGATATTATATAGGTATAATATAGATATAAAATAGATATAATATAGATATAATATAGATATAATAAAGATATAATATAGGTATAATATAGATATAATATAGATATAATAAAGATATAATATAGATATAATATAGATATAATATAGGTATAATATAGATATAAAATAGATATAATATAGATATAATATAGATATAATATAGATATAATATAGATATAATATAGATATAATATAGATATAATATAGGTATAATTTAGACAGCGTTACTGGGCCCAGGCTACACGGAGTCTTTTAATAAAAACTTTTTATCCGTGAATTCACAACATATTCTTTACAAATTCTAAATCAAACAGAACATGTATTGTTTGTGTTAAGTACAGCGTATATAATCATTAACATGGCTTCGACCTTGACCTTAATCTGAAAGAAATAAGGAGGTCATTATGATTCCCTAAGATAAGATAATAGGACATTTAGGTTATCTGGACACAAAGAAAGTGTGCGGGGAAATTCTACCTCATTACAATAGGATATGATCAGTAGAATACGTGTTTTATTATAACAAGTAAGATTCATAACCCGAGCAAACGGAAATCTGCACGCGTGATTAAATCGAATGTAATGAAATGCTATTACGATAGAGAACAGTGACCGATGGGGATTTAGCATATAGTGACAATCCGTTGGCTACAACAAGTAAAACAAAAGCTGCAGTGAACTGTGTATCACATACGTTTGTTTTAAATGAGACATGTACATTTCGACACCTAAACCATATTTACTGTTAGTGCAGGGACTCTGCAAAGGACACGGGCCTAAATGGGATTAAAAGCATTCCAACAAAAAAAATCCCAAGGATTCCCTTCCATCCAAGGATTACCTTCCATCCGAGGGTTCCCTTCCATACTTATGTGTTAGTCTTATGCAGAAAGCACAAGATATGGTCCTGTTCTAGTCCTACATAC